ATTTCTTTAGTAAGATATTTAGCTATTTTTTTTGTCTACTAGCCTTAATATTCAAGAAATCCTATTATTGAAAAATATATGCTATCCAGCAGGATTGAAGCCTGCCTCCCCCCCTCCCTTGGCAAAAGAAACTGTTATCAGATTCAATATGCTTTGGATTCTCTTGGACACAACAATGAGTCATTGATCAAGTCTTATAAATGCAAATCTTTCTCAGTCTCTTAAAACATTCATATTTGCTCAGTTTTGTATCCTAATGTAAAGAAAGCAATTTCCAAAGAAGTGATGGATCTGTTTATTTAAAATACTATCAGACCCAACAAATGTTGATATCAGTCATATAGGATATAAACAAATGGAATTGTCTGTTTATGGAAATAAGTGAAGGAAGAGGAGAGTTAGTATTAGGTCCAATGCTAAGTGTACCTTCGTGTAGTAAACCTTCTATTTCATTACTTACCTATGAGTTTGTCTTCCTTATTTAGTTCCTTCTGTTTTCTTAAAAATATATGATCCGATAGATAGATAGATAAGAAGAGAATAGGAGAGATAGATAGATAGATGAGAAGAGAATAAGAGAGATAGAAAGAGATAGATGAGAAGAGAATAGATAGATATATACATAGATAAAAACAGACTAGAAGATATATGTATATGTTTTGATAGATAGAAAAGACTAGGATAGATAGATATATAAATAAGAACAGACTAGGAGAGATAGATAAAAAAAATAAGATAGATGGATAGTTTGACAGATAAGAACAGACTGATCGATGTATAGATAGATAGATTGATCAAAACAGACTGTAATAGTATCATATAGGACATAAATGAATGGAATTGTCCATTTATGTAAATAAGTGGCATTGAGGAGAGTTAGCATTAGGTCAATTGCTAAGTGTAGTTTGCGTGTAATAAACCTTTTATTTCATTATTTACCTACGAGTTTGTCTTCCTTATTTATTTCCTTTTGTTATCTTGAAAACACAAGATACAAAAATATCTTACCAAGCCTCATGTTCAGGGCTTTGCAAATGAAGGCATTTCATGAAATGCGATCTGTTTCAGACAAAGAACAGTTATGAATATCATTGAAAAAATATGCAATAAATCAATATCTCACAAGTTGTGAACTTTTCTTATATAAATGAGTCAATACTCAGTGACATCCAGACACGGAGATAAGATAGGCAAAGTTTGGTTTTAATCCTTACTTCCTCTTCCGACTGCTAGCTGCTGCCTTTCCATTTATAAATAGTCATTCAGCAGAGAAATTATTATATCAACCAGACTACATAGAACGATTGATAATTCTTTATTCCTTATAGACTTTGAAATTCTTCAATTTGTTATCATTAAACTCCTTGTTAGATATGAACAGAATTTGCTATTTTGTGCTGTGAAATTGGTTTTCAGAGAAAGTTACCATGGCTGCGAGGATTTCACATTTGAAATCTCGACGGAATCACGACGATCCCTGGGAGAAACCTTCGTAGAATCTGGTTATCTCCCAGCTTGCCAATGGCCTCATATGATAGTGGTGAAATCAAGAACACCACCAAAGTTATGACACCAGGAGTATTATGTTTTTCGTAGCACTGGGACGGAACAACAGATCAAGGAAATGACCAACAGCAGTGCTGACAGTGCAGCATGGGGGTATCATATATATATATATATATATATATATATACAAGTATATAATTGGTATATACGGAATGAATTCCAATAACCAACAATTACTATTCTTAAAAAGAGTGCTCAATACAAAATAGAGCAGATATAATTATTTTTTATAAAAAATTGGATAACATATCCATATTATAAAAATAGACAAAGATAGGTTTTTGTTTGTTATAAAATTCTTAGAAATCATGTTGTTTATTTAACACAGGAATGTTCTTTAAGAAACATTCCCATATTACAACAACATATCATCTTTGATAAGAACAGAGTGTGTTTATAAACTCTCAAATCTATTTTTGTAGTGATTTTATAACATACTTATGTTATAATTTTTTTTATAAAAATAATTATATATATATATATATATATATATATATATATATATATATATATATATATACAGGTTGGCAACGATAAACTGCAGTAGTTGGAGTCCGAATCTTCTATTCATGGTTTACATTACATGGTTAGTGGTTTAGATCAAAAGTGAGCCATGATATTAAGATTGTCAGCTTAGACCACCAAAACAAAGCTTGTCAAGTCCATGGAGTTGTCCATGAAAATGGGTAATGCAGTGGCTAAGCATACAAAATGTGTATTCAATACTAAGAGTTGAATATTGGCAGTCTTGAAAAACATTTATTAAAACTATCCATTAATTTCACATAAATAATCGGCACCAATGAATACATTTGAAAGTTGATGGCCTAAAATGATTCCAACTATAAAGTGCCATGTCAATAGATCCATCATCGGTGATAGCAAAAGATGGCGGAAATCTCATATGTATGAGATTTTAACAAGAAAAAAATAAAATTTTCTTTTATAGTTTTATTAAAATGTTGAATAAGAACATTATAATACATTGTATTGTAATGTATTAATAAAAATAATATAACAATACAATGTGACAGGACCCAAAGAGTGTGAGTTCAATACCCGGTTAAGGCAGTGGAGAACTTTCAAAGGGAAATTAGCTGATAACTGACATCCATCAAACATGGCACGTGGAACTAGAACAGTCTACCCCAGTGAGCGAAATAAAGGGTTCAGTTCGAAATTCCAACCACCTGAAGAAGGCTGGAGCGTACAACGGTTGAAACGTTGTGATAAATATGGTGACAAAGATGGGGACAATAGTCCGAATAATGTAAATAATGTACAATGTAGTAAGTTTGAATTTGTTTCAAATTGGGATCTGCTGATGATTACGTTTCTAATATGAACATGACAAAAAATTTTTGGGTCCATCGTGCATGCACAGCTTAAGCAACAGTGTTGTTTATTGGTGTGCAACTTAATGGTACTGACTTGTGTGTGTGTGTGTGTGTGTGTGTGTGTGTGTATATATATATATGCACAATGTATAAATATATTTCTTCCTCAGGTGTTATAAAACAGTGCTCAATGTTATGAAACAGAGCTATAAGTATAAATTAGTGAATATACATAATATCAATATTCATTTGACACAGAGTTTCATACAAAATTAAACACTGAAGATTTCATAAACTGCATGAAATATATCATATATATATATATTAGATATTATGTATACTCACTATATATATATATATATATATATTGCGCATATAGTACTGGTTTTAATA